AAGGGGTGCCTCAGCGCAGTGCAGTGAAGTGGATGCCAGAGTGGTGATGGAAGTGAAAGGTGAGGAGGCCAGAGTTGAGGGAGTGAAGGCAAATTGTCAGCTCTTGGGCAACTTCAACCTCAAGGCTGAAAGCCAAGGACGGGCCACTGAGCCTAAAATAACCTCCCAAGAGGGTCTAACAGGTCATTTTGCAATCTATTCCAGCACTGGCTTTTAGGTCAACGTAATTAATATTGACTGGGCCCCTGTTGCAGGTTCACACCATGAAAAATATGAAGGTTTGGTCCTATAAACAGAGAGGAGGCAAACTGACAAAAGACAGGGAAAAAAAAAAAAAAACAATGAGAGCACTGTATAAACCAGTGTGTATTCTAGTGCCAAGCTATGCAGTTGGAGCCATGCAGGCAACCAATATTCACAGAAAGGTTGGAGCACAGTGTGCTGGCAAGGGAATGAGTGACTTCTGGGAGCCCAAGAGGGAAGGCAGGATAAAAGGACCCTAGCTTTTCAAGAAGAAGGCACACAGCAGTGTGAGAAAAATGGCAGGGAGAGTTGGTAGGCACTGACCGCAGCAGTACAGAGAACAGACTGTGTCTTGGCCTGAGAAGGAAGGGACCTCTCTCAGCTCCCTATGGTGAGCACAGGTATTTTACAGGAGAGGAACAAGAGGTGAAGGTAGGCCAGCAGAAAGACCACACCAATGAGGTCCCAAATACCAAGACTATCAGGACATGCAAGGTCAGCGTACAGAATCCAGGAGTTCACTACCTCATACTTAATCAGGCAGCTAAAAATAAAAGAAAAATAATGAGTACTTGAGAAAATTATTCATTTGGTGATTTTGTTTGGGATGGAACAGATGGAACTAATGGCCCTTTGTATTGACCAAACGTCTGACTGTGTGTGAACATACATCCCTCCCTGCTGAGCTTCATAGTTCACTGAAGAGACTACTCTTTAAACCCACATTTATCTACAAGGACCTCCATTGTGTGCCAAAGGTTGTGCTAAGAGCTGAAGAGCAGAGCAAAGCTCTAGCCCTCATGAGATGTGTCCTTCCGTGGGAGTGAAAGACAATACAAAATTCAATTGACAATTCTATCGCCCCCAACAAGCAAAGGTTCCCGGTGGGTCTTGTGAGAGGGTGTGCTTAAGGAAGACCTCGCCAAGAAACTGACATAGTATTTAAAGTCAAAGAAGCAATAAATTGAAGTGTATCTGCTGGGAATACAGATTCTAAGAATGGGCTGGGTTTGGAAGAGTGCAGGAAGGTGAGTGTGTCAGATCAAGCATGCTAAGTAACGCCTGCAGGGAATCCACAGAGACATGTCTGAACTCCAAAACTCTAACCTACAAATGCAGAGAACATAAAGGTCGGATGTGTAAATTTAAAAACTGTCCATCTGGGGCTGTGGATTAGTAGCAAGGTACATGTTTGTCCCACACAGGAACCTGGGTTCCATCCCAGTACAGCAAAACAAGTCCTAAGTTATCCACTGAGGCTTGAGTTCCAGGAAGCTTTCCCTCTAAAACTGATATGAAGTGACAAAGTCATTAAGGTGGGATGGAGAGACAGCTTAGTTGGTAAAGTGTTCAATTTGTAAACATGAGGACCCTGTCTCAAAGAAACAAGGTGGACAGCATCCCAAAGAATGACATCTAAGACTGACCTCTGACCTCCACATACATGCAACTTCCCCCCCTGCCCACACATACAGAGAGAGAGAGAGAGAGAGAGAGAGAGAGAGAGAGAGAGAGAGAGGAGTAGGGTGGCGCTGAGACTCAAAGGTGTTTTACGTTGGGTGTAAAATACAAAGATAGTTCAGTACTATGTCCATTGAAAATCCATTTCCTCCAAGCTTCTGGAATCCCAGGGGCATACAGTGATTTTTGTGCAGGTAGCAAGCAGATGGGAAATAATGTCAATGACAACAATAGCAATCATAACACAACAGTCCATCTGGAAGACTGCATTCCCTTGCCTCAGCAGCAGAGGCACAGTTGCAGGGACAGATCTTGCTGGGCCTTGGATGACATATTGCCCCTTTGTGGGTTTTCCCTCACCAGAGGCTACTGATGTTTCAATGTATCGAGAAAGCGATTTTAGGGGGGAAATGAGATAAAATTTGGAAACTGCCTCTCCTAGCATCCCTAGAAAGAATAAAAACTGAATGTCAGGGTAGACTTTGAGGTTTGAATGACACTCCAGGATTCTAGGTGTTGAAATGTAAGCCCCATTTGAGAGATTAAGAAAATACAGCATTTAAAGAAGTGATTAGGGTTAGACAAGGTTTATAAACAGAGTAGAGATATAGAAGCACACATACATACTCACACTCATGCCTTTTATTTTAGCTGTACTCTATCACAAATACACACACACACACACACACACACACACACACACACACACACACACACACAACCAGATGAGTCCCTTGACCTTGGAGCTCCAGAGCCATAAGCTAAATGTACCCACACTGAGGTACTACATATTAGTAACAGAAAATGAACCAACTTGGAAAGGAGGATACCTGTCCATCCTGCACAGGACTGTCTCTGCTCTAACACGGGAAGTCCTCATCAATCCTCAGCCAAATAGAAGATTGGTCACCTTGTGGCTTGATTTCATCTTAACTGTAACCTGTGTCTGACCCAAATGCAGCAAGGATCTGTGCTTCTGAAAGTGATGTCAGCAGAGTCAGTGTGTACATTTCATTCTCAAGCCCTTCCTAGCCTCCTCACCTCCCTCCAAAAGCCAAGGGGTCTTTCTCTAGCAGAGAGTTGTGCTGAAAAGCAGAGAGTTGTGCTGAAAAGCCTCCAACTCTAGACACTCTGCCTTTCCACCCCTGTGATCTGCTCCAACCCCTGCTACTCCCTTAACAGGCACCACCAAATCCACCACTGACTTCAGTCCATATGACTTGCTGCCTAGCCAGTGACAGCAAGCTACTGGGGTCAGGGGTCAAGGTCGGGTTAGAGGGAAGAAAGATGTTTATCTGACACACCCCTGGGAAAGGGAAGCCCAGCTAAATTACAGTTCTGTGGCTGAGGAGGATTATGTCCGAGGTCTAAATTACAGAAACATGGGAAATACTTGCTGCCCAGTCAGTTTTTGGAGCTTCGGGTCAGACACTGGGCTGACTCACCTTTGGAGGGGAAACCAAGTGGGTGCTCTTCTCTCAAGGTATACATCATATTCTTTCCCAGGAGCCACTGTGTCTGGAACCCTCATGGTCATTGGGGAAGCTCCATGGTCACTGCTGCCAGCTACTAGGAGTGCTCCAAAATTAACAGGAAGGCTTAAGAACAATGCCAAGACTGAAGTTAAATTTGGCTCGGATCTTTCTTACAGAACTTTCTGGCTCGACAAAGTTAAAAGAACAATAAGCCAAGCCATGCTCCTCCAAGAATAATCCACATTTGGCTGTGGTTACCTTGATCACTTACCTATAATCTAAAGTGTGAACTTTAAATTCCCAACTTTCTTGGCCAATCCCCACCTTTGACTAGACCTGAAGGACTAGTAGCAGAACAAGGGATGGTTATTAATGATGCCCTCTGACTCTGGCCAATGACCTCAGATCCCTAAGAATGGCATCCTTTCCCCTCTGGCTCTGGGCTCAAACAGGGAAGGCTAAGCAAGCTGTTGCAAGATTGCATCAGTGACCTTTGCAATTTTCTGGCCAGCTGGTTCCCCTTCCTCCCCACTCCACCCCCTGCTTCAAGCCCTTTGGCCTACCTGCCTCTCCTTTTCCCCTACTTTGCTAACTCAGGTACACCAATAGTCAAAGCTAAATTAGAGATACCCCCACCCAGGGGATCATGTTTAATTTTAAGCTAAGCAACTTCTAAGAGTACTTTCCACCCTGGATCCTCACTCTGGGGTCTACAGTGCACTCTCCCAAACCTGGGCAGGGTGGCATGGAAGCTTTGCAAGAGGAAGGGATATTTCCATTGCAGACCAACTTCACTGAAGTGAATGTAGAAGAGAGGACTGTGTGTGTGTGTGTGTGTGTGTGTGTGTGTGTGTGTGTGTTTATGTGTGTGATATACAAATATATATATGTCCCACACAGCCTAACACACGCTAGGCAAAACACTCTATCACTGAACCATGTCTATAGCCCTCTTTTTAATTTTCAAAACACAGGGTCTCAGTAAGTTACCCAGGCTATGCTTGGGTTTGCCATCCTCCTGCCTCAGTAACTGGGATTACAGGTCTGTGCTTTGATTTTAATGGCTGTTCCCTGTTATACAGAAAGACCTATGGAAGCACCTTAGAGGCAGACACTAATTCTCCCCCACCACACACACACACACACACACACACACACACAATCAATGAACAGCTTTCTATTAAGTGACTAGTAGTGTTCTCCATGTTTTAGTAAAACCCACCAACCATGGAAGCAGCACTCTGGAAAGACATTCTGCTTTATTTGCTCCCTGGAGATGCAGGGTTTCTTTTGTTTGGTTTTATTTTTATTTTGTTTTGTTTTTTGTTTGTTTTTGCTTGCTCAAGGCAGGGGTCCCTCCCTTTTCTTCCCTCCCACCCATACCCACTCTGCATGGAGAGAGAAGGTAGCCTTCTAGATGAAAATGAAAACTTTCAACTATAGGGAACCCCACATTTCCTCATGGGGTCTATGTTGGGTTCCTTTGTGACTGCAAGAGTTGAGCACCTACAGACAAGAAAAAGAAAGTGTGTCCTGTCAGGAGAGGGTGTCATCACCTCCTGGTGTGGGTCCTCCCCCTTGGTGCCTTGGGCTCTCAGGCTCTGCAGCACTGACGGTCTAGGGTCTCAGGGCGCAAATGGCAGGGGCGTGCACCGCTCGTGGCCACCTCCCCCGGGTCCCCGGCAGCACTACCCTTCTTCTTCCTCCTCCCCCTTCTTTTCCTGGCGGGTGCAGACAGGGCCCAGGTCAGCGAGCCAGGAGGCGGATCCTAGGCAAAAGATATAAGGGCTCTGGACGCTGAGCCCTGCAGCGGCTGAGTACGAGAAGAAGAACGCCAAGGCCAGCCTGACCCACCCATCCCTGACTACCGCCAGCAAGTGCTTTCTGTTCCCACTGCACCCTGGGTGAGCATCCTGCTTGGAACCGGAACCGAGGGAGGACGAGCGGGAAACCGCAGGTCCCTTCCGCAGTTGCCTTCTCCCCTCTGCCCGCCGACCCCCCTCTCCTGACACAGGGTCCCCTGCTCTGCTGCTGTCCCCCAGAAAAAAAGCCTCAACCCTCTCTCTTCTCTACTACCTCTGCAGGCCCCGCCACCCACAGCCCAGAGCCCAGATGGAAAGCGTGCGTGAGCTGATCCCTCTAGCCAAAGAGATGATGGCGCAAAAGCCCCGAGGGAAGCTGGTGAAGCTGTACGTGCTGGGCAGCGTGCTGGCACTTTTCGGTGTGGTGCTCGGCCTGGTGGAGACAATGTGTAGCCCTTTCACAGCTGCCAGCCATCTGCGCGACCAGGAGGCTGCAGTGGCCGAGCTGCGGGACGCTTGTGAGCAACAGTCCCTCCACAAGCAAGCCCTGATGGGCAAGGCACAGGAGGCGACCCTGTGCAACCGGGCCCTGTCTCTCAGGCAGCATGCTTCATAAGGCTGTGACTGGCAGAGGAGGGAGTGAGACAAAGACAGAGACATAGGGAAATCGTGGCTGTGGTGGGAGAGAGCAGAACACATGCTGTTCCTAGGTGAAGCCACCGAATCCAGAACTGACCATGAACAGATCACCCAAGGGGTCTGGGATTGACTTTTGCTGCTATGCAGCACGCACTGTGATTTGTCCAAGGCTGTGGGAGCGATCAAGGAGCTATCACTTTGCATTAGGGGAGGAAATGTGCTTTTTATACCGTTGTTTTTATTGTTGTTATTATTTTATTAGTACAATGACTACCTGTTTTTCACTTTGAAATAAAAACATTTTATACTCTATCTCATTACTTAATCCCTGGCAGGTGTGGTGGCCTTTCACCCAGCACTGTGGTTAGCCCTGAATCATACATGCTGCCTGGCACAGGTCTACTCACAGAAGAGTGAAACTGCCAAAGTTCCCACAAGTGTTAGCGTTTTGGGATCACAAGATCCATTTCTGACCTAGAATACACGAGAGATAACCACTGAATTTCTAGGGCAAAGTAAAGGTGATTTGCCATTTACCCTTTTGTGCTGGCCACTCCTGTGGCTGACCTCTACTTAACTATTAAGAGAAGGGAGGGAAGAAGAAAGAGGGGAAGGAGACGGGAGGAGGAGAGGGGAGGAAACTGGGAGAGAGAATGAGAGAGGCAGAAGAAAGGAGAGAGTAAAGAAGAGGGGAGAAGAAGGGAGAGGGAGGATGGAGGAAAGAAAGGAGTTAGCTGTCTGGTGGGAGCAGAGGCTCTGACTAGTGAGAAGTTACAGCTTAGAAAGAGAAAAGATCAGACCTTAGCAGACTTGAGCCCTCTCCCTGGAGCCAGAGCTGATAGAATGCCAACAGCTAATTTAGTAAGACTATGGGACTCCCCAGAGGTTACCCCTCCCCACCCCCACAAGGCCTAGAGGACAGCCTGATGCCACTCCCTCAGGATCTTTAATGTCACCTACTCTGACTAGATGTGGGCATGTTACCCTGCCTCTTGCTCCTCCCAAGCTATCCTTACATATAGACACCTCCTTTCCATTTGGTTACCCAAACCCAAACTCCCCAATGCTCCTGGCTCTGATCAACTGTCAGCTCTCCTTAAAAATCTACCCTTAACATCCTCCAAGGAAAGAGCAGTGGGTGGTTAACAGAAGAAACAACATGTTGGAGGCTTCAAGAGAAAGCATGTCAGTGACACCAGAGTTCTTCCTGTTTCCAAATCCAGACACTTGACCCTGTGCTAAGGCAGAGTCCAGTCTTAATGGCCACAAAGCTCGCTGGAGCTCAGCCAATCCAGCCCTTCAGTCACTCCAAGATGCTTCTTCCACAGGCTGCTTGCTCCTCTACTCATTCAACACTTGGTCCAGCTCATCTCCTACATCACCTCACAGGCTGGTCCCCCTTCAGTCCTTGTCACCTTGCTGCCCCTCCACCAAAAGTGCCAGAAACTAAATTCCTATGTGACTCTAACGGTTCTGTGACCATGCTCCTGTCCACCTCTTGTCTGCCTTTGTAGGCCTCCCAGAATGGACGATGATATTATCTCCTCATATCCACATTCTCTATATCTTTGAGGAAGATAAACCTCAATGCTCTGAGGATTTCAAATTTTCTGCCCATCAGTAAATTATGTGCTCCGTTTTTTGGGGAGGTGTCCCCCCCCCACGTGTGTGAAGGTTATGTTATGTCTATAGTTAGAGGGTTGGGCTATGTGCACAAGCATGCAGATAATACTAATTTACTTAGACTACAATGTAACATCTCTCAGATTCTCCTTCATACTGTCTACTCTGTCAGCCTGAGCTGCTGGAATCTTTTCACCTCCCATAATCTTACACTTGTAAAGTCTAGGTCTCATGCTGGCCCATGCTAGCAGACTTTCCTCTCAGGGCATTGTGGGCAGATCATGCACCTAGTAGCATGGAACCATGTCTTCTTAATTTTCACACAAATCATCAAGGTTTAGAAAATCATGATGTTTTCAAAAATATTTGATTTAGTGTCTCAACTGCTCTCAGGAAGAGAAGCATATTTGTCCCACAAGGATGCTCACAGAGGAAAAGAAGGTTGATTAATCACAACAGAATCAAGTTTTGCTGTGGTCCCATAAGACATTTGGTCATGGTCAAACATAACAAGCCCCCTACTCAACACAGAGACAAAAACTATTCTTGGTCATATTCTATTTGGCAGTGTTAACACCAACCTAGGAAAGGTGATAGAGAAATGTTTGTTGGTTCTGTTGATGACATGGAACCAACATAGTAGAGTCAAGATTAATAATTAACAATAATAATATTTCACCAGACTGGAGCCAGGCACTGAAGCAAACTGAAACTGAATAGGAAAGAGTTGTTGGATGTTTTATAACTCTATGTGAAGTTATGTCGCTGTTTCATCTTGCCTGCCTGAGACACCTGATTAGTATATAAAGAGCTAAATGGCCAATAGCTAGGCAGAAGAGGTTAGGTGGGACTTACAGGCAGAGGTAGGAACTCTGGGTTAGAATCTGGCATGGGAAATTTTGCCAGGGAGAAACATGGAGGGAGTCAGAAGTATAGAATGGAGGAGAGGTAGAGATCAGCATGGCAGAATGTAGATGAATTTAATTGAACTTAGAATATAGCTTAATTTAAGAGCTAGTTGAAAACAAGCCTAAGCTAAATGCCAACCTTTTATAATTAATTATAAGTCTCCTTGTCATTATTTGGGGCCTGGTGATCAAAAAAAAAAAAAAGTAATAAAGGCTTATACATTTGTCATTTAGTGTGGAGGCCAAGGCCCATATATCCAAACACAAGGTCTTAGAAAACTGAAAACAAAAATCCTGGACAAAGAACCCACTACTTATGGTGTCCAGGGTCCCAGTTCCTCTATGCAGCTGAGCGCTTAAATGGTGAATCCCAGATAGAATGGGGTTCTATAGAAACCCAGCAACTTCCCAGATCTGGGGTGGGTAAATGTGGCTCCCCAACAGGGCCCAAGGGCATGAGGCTTGGCTCTCGCCAATCCAAGGGGGCTCAGAGCCAGCTTCCAGTACCATATGCTAAGTGGAACCACATGGCAGGTAGCCAAGTAGTTTAAAGTTTGGCTCATTTGATCAGAGAAATACTGCATACAAGCAAATAAAAACCAGGTCCAGGCCAAGAAAATTTCTAAACAGCACAGTGTGCTTGAAAATATGCTAGGTGCTGAAGGAAAAAAAAAGTAATACTGACAATCACAGAAAAAATAGTTTAAAAATAATAATAAAGTCTTTAAAGAAAGATTAAAGTGACATAAGAAGAATGAGCTACATAAAAATGGGAAATACATAGGGAATCTGGATCCTACATGGTGCTTTGCTGATTTTGAAACTTTTAAATGCTTATGAACAAAAAAAAAAAAAAAAAAAAAAAAACAGCAGCTGCTAAAGAATATTGGGTTGTGAAAAACTACTAAATTAAGCCAACCTATATATTTTAAGGATGTCTCAATTTCAAAGTAGAAGTTGGGAAATGTATTGTGTTGGGGGAGAGGTTATGCTTTTGTTTCCATAAGAAACAAAAAGCTATGGATTCCTTCAAAATTAATAAAGACAAGATTTAACTGGAGGTGATCTCCTGAAAATCTTGATGGCAGACATGAAGGTAGAAACCAAGAAAAAAAAAACTACAAGACCAGTGATGTATAAGCTGATCTTTCTGCTATGGAAACAGTTCAGAGACTGGATGAGACATGATAAATCTTGTTGGCTACAGAATCCTCATGACTAATTATCACATGCTACCCTTTCATATGGCATGGATGAAGATTTATATTACATTTTGGTTATGCAGTCCAAATGGACTTATAAAGTTGGTAAAAAAAAAAAAAAAAAAAAAAAAAAAAAAAAAAAAGCCTTTTACCTGCTTAAACAGAAAACAGAAAATCATCCTTAGCTCACTTGTGCACAATACATTCCATACTTGTTAATGAAGATAAGTAAGCTACTTTTAAAAGTTTGTGTGTTTTTTTTTTTTTTTTGGGGGGGGGGGGGGGGGCAAACACCAATGAAGACAAGTAGCTTAGGTTATCCAGCCTCTCAGAAGGCCTCTGTTGCAGTTTCCTCAAAAATCTGCACCCAGAATAACTTCAAAACTGCCAGCTGAGATGGCCTCATATACTACTCCAGCCAGGACTTCAGTTAAGCCCTGAATTTTCCCATCACACAAAGACTAAACAACAAACGATACAGATAGTTCTCCCAAGGACTTGACCATTATCCCAATGTTCTCAGGGCCCCCAAAGATACCATCACCCCTCACAAACAGGAAGCAGTCTAGAGAACATGAGACCCACATTCCCAAGAGGTAGGGTAGGTGGTTGTAGATGTCTGCCTTTTTTGGGAGAGGGGGTTAGTTGTAAGTTGTTATTGGTAATGGTCAGAGAGGAAACTAAGCAAAGGAGGTTAAATTCAGGGACCTCTTTCTGAAAAGAAAAAACGAGGGTATAAGAATGATATGATAAAAGGTAAGATTATTAAATTTACCTTTAAACTAAAAAAACAACTACTAGTCTCAAATATTTTATATTGCTATGGATTTTTATATATTGATACAAATTTAAGGTTATTTTTATTATAGCATACTGTATATATGTTTCTACTCTTGTTTAATGTATTTTGCCTATGCAGCTCATTTAAAATGTAATAGTTCTGGTCCTTGAAAGCTATTATTATAAATTATTTAGGATAATTAAAAATGCAAGTTAGTAGTTAGTCACCTATAATAATCAAGTTTGTCATCATGTTAGTTATGTTTTCAAGGTCAAACAGATTTATTTTAGATAGATAGATGGTCGTAAAACACTTCAGAGACCTACAGATATTTTAATAGCCTAAGGCTTTTAATGACAGTGACACATGTCTGTTCCTGACAGCACCAGTCTATTTCAGAGAAATAGCTTGCTTTCTATGTGGCAAAGTTAGCTACTGAGCATAAGTTGCCCTTGCCCTGACTGCTGACCAAACTGGACAAAGGGTATACAAAAGAAGACAACTGCTGAATTTTGCCAAGGCAAGGTGGGACAGTCCTTCAAAATTCTTGCTTCACAGAAAAAAAAAAACTACCAGCTATCCTAGGCATGTAGACTGAAGATGAATGTTCTAACATTGCAGAGGAAGCTTGGGTGACTGTCCAGAGAGCCAGCTGTTTGTCATTTCTATAGTTTTGGAAGTTGCTTGTTCTATATTTTCTGTTTACTCGGGTAATATTATATCCTTCTCAGATCTCTGATGTGATTAGATTTTCTTTGTTACCAAATTTTAAAAAGAACTTACAAAAGAGATGTAATTTATAAAGTTAAGGGGCATAAAAGTTTAAGTTGTTTAACTAAGAAAATGTTTTAAGATCTAAAGATATTTTAGGATGGTAATACAAGTTAGAATAGAAAGTGGTTTAGATATAAAATTTGGACTTGTCAAGGTAAGATAGATAATAGGGTAATCGCTTCAAATTTGGCAAATACAAATGAACTGGACATTGCAAATGTAATTCTTACCTGATAATTGCTCTTAATGTATATAGTTTTACTGCAGTAGAGAGGAATAAAACAAAAACAAACAAACAAAAAATGCTTTCCTTTTTATTTAGACAAAAAAAAAAAAGGAAAGAAAAGAAAAGAAAATGTTTCAGGGTATTTTATCACACTATGTGAAGACATGTTGCTATTTTACCTTGCCTGCCCAAGACACCTGATTGGTTTAATAAAGAACAAAGTGGCCAATAGCTACGGAGGAGAGGTTAGGCGGGACTTCCAGGAAGAGACAGGAAGTCTGGGTTAGAATCTGGCACAGAGGATTTCACCAGGGAGACACAGAGGGAGTCAAAAGTACAGAATGGAGGAGAGGTAGAGAGCCATGTTGAAGGATGTAAATGATTAGAAACAGGTTAATTTAAGTTATAAGAGCTAGTTGGAAACAAGCCTAAGCTAATTATAATTAAAAACAAGTCTCTGTATCATTATTTTAGGGCTGGTGACTCAAAGAAAGTCCAACAAGAAAGGCCTACTACAGAGCCAGGCACTGAAACTGAAAATCAATGAGAACTCAAGCCCAACAGATGAGTTTTATAACTACAGAACAGGAAACACATCCTGTACTTGTCTCTGAGGGAGTTTTGAGGCTGGGTTAACTGAAGTGGACAGGGGTCCAGGACTCTATAAAAGAGAAGGGAGAGAGCTAGCAGGACACTCTCTGCCTGGCATCCACCTCTCTACTTCCTGACTGTGAATGAGCATGCTCCTGTTCCTGCTCCCACTCCTGCTCCTGCTCCTGCTGAGGTGACTTTCCTGCCAAGATGGATTGCAGCATCCAACTGCAAGCCAAAGTAAGCCCTTTCTTCCCTTGTTTGTGTTAAGTATTTTGCTTTAATAACAGAACAAGTAACACCCAGCAGACCCACCTGGGTCTGCAAAGATACACCAATGCCCAAGCTTCTCATTTTCCAAAGAGCTGTAAGGTGCTGTAATGTTAAACTCAGTAGTTTGCTCAACAGAGCTCATCCTCACTGTAAATTAGCAAGGCACTCACCTTTAAACTTTATCTCATGCATCAAACAATGGTTTCACATTCTTTGACAATGGAGGGTCTGTCCATTTGAGAGTGTTTCAGAGGACCCTTGGGCCACGTGGCATATTCTCTGGGTTCCTTGTGCCTAAATGCCATTTGTCTTCATTTCTACATCTGGGCTACTAAATCTCAGTGAGTAATCTGAACTCAACTAGTTAATTTAGGGATTCACTTCCTGATAATTATATCTAGACCTTCATGTAAGGTCCTTAGATATTTTGTTTAGGAGGTGCCCCCACTTAGTAACCAGAGATCTCTGCCCAAAAGCATTTGACACTTTGGGTGGGAAGCATGTTATCATTAGCTAATTCGGCATGCATCTTGATATACGTAGTCCACTCGACCTTTTGTTTTGCTTCAGAGGTTCACTATCTGCTTGAGACAGTAACTCAGTATGGCCTTGTGGTAGTTTAAATGATAGTCTCAGCTGTCTGAACACCTGACCCCCAGTTAGAGATGCTGTTTGGGGAGGTTTATGACGTGAAGCCTTCCTGGAGAAGTGTGTCACTGGAGGTGGGCTTTGAGAATATAAAACCTTGCCTGTTCATTTTGAGCTCTCTGCTTCCTGCTTGTGTTTGAAGATGCTCTCAGCTGCTGTTCATGCCCAGGCCTACTGTTTGTTGTCATCATGGACTCTTCACCCCTCTGGAATCCTGAGCCTAAATACACCCATCCTTCTACAGGGTATTTTATCACACAATGTAAAGACATGTTGCTATTTTAACTTGCCTGCTGTTTTCTCTGAGTGACAGACAGTAACTAACACAGGCATCAAATTAGTTAGTTATATGTGTGGCCAGATTGACCTGAACAAGGTGAATCTCCCCCCACCTTTTCAAACATGAGGTTTGAAGGTGTGTGTCCCCACACCTAGTTAGAAGTCTTCCACCTGATCAATGTTTTTGCCAATACAACTGTTCATTTTCCTGCTGTTCACTTTGCTTATTTGTTTGTTTGTTTTTGGTTTTTCCAGACAGGGTTCCTCTATTTAAAATGCTTTGTAGATCAGGCTGGCTTTGAACTCACAGAGATCCATCTGCCTCTGCCTCCTGAGTGCTGGGATTAAAGGCAAGCTTTACTACCTCCCGGCTTCTCACTTTGTTTTTTGTCTCTATTATTGTCTTGTTTTATATGTATTTTTAAATCTAATCTTGGCTGTCTTAAATCTGATATATAAAAGTAAGAGTATTTGATAGGAATGTGCAGAGATAAGGACAAATAAACCACCAAGCTGATGTTCAAGGACACACTCTACCTGACTAATGGCCAATTCTGGGGAGGGCTATTGTCATGCTGAGCTATGGGAGTGGCTGTATTCGTGTGCAGAAGGTCATTCTCACCTGTATTCCACAGTTCCTGGATGGACTGGCCTCTTTTGTGTGTGGAAGGTGTGTTCATGTGTGTTCCAGGAGCACTGGAAGGATGGCACTTCACCCACGTGTGGAAGGGTGTGTTCATCTGTATTTCAAGGTATTAACTCAGGGTCCTTTTCTACATTTTTCTCAGAAATGGAAGCTCAGACACCACTTGCAGGCACATGGCCCCTGAAATGAAAGTAGGACAAAGTGTCCATCCTCTCAGAACTGGATATTGCCAGAAGCATCACTGAAAAAGCCAATGCTCTGTAGTGGGATATTCACTTTGTCTCCTTCCACAGGTCACTTCCGCCCATGGCTCCACCCCCCAATGGGCGTGGTCAGTGCCACAGAAGGAGACAAAGTGAATATCCCACTACAATGCTCATGTTGGCTAAGGAGAAAGTGAGCTGTCCCAAAGCCACTTGGGACCCTTCTTCACAGGAGACATCATCCCCTGCTGATCCATCCTCCCTCTCAGTTAGGTCAGGACCCCACACTGCAGCATCCAGTATGGGCGACCATGCTGATTAACTCCCATGCTCAGTGTGTGGCTGTGTTAAATCACCCTCAAGAAAAGAGCTGATCATGACATGGCTCAGGGTTGGGACCAAGTAGATGCCCTTCAAATATCTGTTGAATATGTGAATAAATAAATAGTTAGGAAGTAAACATTGTGTGTGTGTGTGTGTGTGTGTGTGTGTGTGTGTGTGTGTGTCTGTCTGTCTGTCTGTCTATCTGTCTGTCTGTGTCTACGGGTATGTTTGTGTGTGTGTGTGTCTGCATGTTTGTGTATATCTCTGTGTGTCTGCATGTGTGTGCATGTGTGTGTGTATCTGCATGTGTGTCTATGTCTGTCTGTGTATCCATACGCATGTGTGTATGTCTGTCTTATCTATATATATGTCTCTGTATGTGTGCATGTATGTGTGTGTATGTATGTCCCTGTATGTGTGCATGTATGTGTGTGCACATGTATGTGTGTATCTGCATGTGTGCATGTGTCTGTGTGTGTGACGAGTATTTATATCTGCTAATGAAGCCCTGCTCTTCTGATTCTCCTTCGTCATCCACTCTTCCCCCTAACTGCTGTGGTTGTTGTAAAGGTCTGAAACTCACCTACAGTTTGGGAGGCACACAGGCTTTACAGAAAGCATTGGGTAGGTCACTAGAGTCTCTCCTGGTGAGGAAGAAAACTGCCCAAACACAGTTCTTGTTTCAGTAACTTCCTCTGAGGCAAAGCCAGGGCTACAAAGTGAGCACCTGCTTGGCTGGAACGTGGCTCTACTACGTTTGCTTCCACAGAGTTTAGAGCTAACAATAGTAACGGGAAAGTTTCCAGGGCAACCCGGACCACTTCCAACATCTCCATGCCAGGCTGCTTGGGGTCCCCTTGTCCTTTGGGGAACCTGATGCTCCTTATGCCTGGATTGGCTCCTCTTGCAGGTGCCTCCCTGTTACAGGCTGGGTCCTCGGGAAGGGTCCGCTTTCCTAGGGCTTGGTTTCACGAACATTGTGTCATGTGGCAGACCAGCTGGCTTCAGTCTTGAACCAGGTCTTCTGACTCCTCCCAGAAACCAACCAACTTGTGAGCAGGAAATCCTGCCCCTCCCCAAAGAGTGGGAAACCACAGAGGAAGAGAGAAGACACAGAAGAGGAGAGAGGAGGAGAGAGAGGAGCACAGGAAATAGCCAGCCAAAAAAAAGAAGCCACATTTATCTGAAGCCTCAAGGTAAGACTTTATAAAACTGTATGTTGTATGTGATACTATCACCATTCAGGGCTTCATACATAGTAGGGCCTCACACATGCACACATGCATGCATGCATACATGCACACACACACTGCTCCAAAAAACAGTGGGTCTATTGAAACAAGATAGCAGGTCTGAAGAGAAACCAGCTTCAATGTCAAATTCAATCACTGGTCCAAAAAAAAAGCTGTAAAAATACTGGGGGAGTTCTTGGGGTGGGAGGGCTGAGATAAAATGCAGATGAAACAAAACATCTGATGCTGGCACCAAAAGCGGCCCAATCATTTGGGGACAGACCGTTAGTTGGAGTAAAAAGCCGCTAAGGCAGTGAGAACTCAGCATCCGCATGCTCTTTTGGAGTCACACAAAGCCAGCAGGGCAAGGACTTTTGAGCTGATGACAGACACAAGCACTATGCTGCATCTCCTCTGGAGACTTGTCGAAAAGCCTGTGGTTGTCCCACTGAAACCAATCCACTGGGCCTCTGTGCCATTGGTCTGAGATCTAAGGAGGAAGAAGTGAGGTTTCATGGCCATGGGAGGCCCAAACCTCCCAAAGCTTCTCCTGGAATCGAAGTCCAGCCTCTGCTCAGGACACTAACCCGAGGCTTCACACAGCCTGTTCTGAGAGTATCCCAAAGTACTTCTTTCACTTCAGAGAGTTAGAGAACCCCTAACAGGAAAAAGAAATACCATTCTCACTTCACAGTGGCTAGATTCCCTGGTCATCATTTGACAGCCAGTCCAGAGGGCTTAGGTTACTCCTCCAATCACTTTGTGTGTAGGATGGGGCAGGGGAGAGTCAGGAGGGGTTCCAAATACCTAAGTGCTTCAGAAAACATCTAGACAAGCCAGCACTTGGCTTCTTAAAAGGGATGTTTTTCCAACTTTTCCAGAAGTGTAACAGAATCTGATACATTTTATAACTGATGTGTGTGTTGTGTGTGTGCATTGGATTATGTTTTATGTAGTGTATGTAGTATATGATATATGTGTTATATGTTACGGTGGGGGGGTCTACGTGTTGTATGTTGGTGTGTGTGCATAGTGTGGTGTGTGTGTGTGTGTGTGTGTGTGTGTTATATGTACGCCTTCAGTGACATATTTCTCTATGGAGTTTGTGAGTCTGAAACTGTAAATATGGTGGGAGAGGTAAGGAGAGATGGAGAAATCTCCCTTCTGCTTGCTTATCAATGGTTTAAAGGAATTACCTTTCTCTCTTTAGTATTATTTAAAAAGAAAATAAAAATAAAATCTTGCCCCTTTCTTGATACTCATCTTTGTAAAGCCAAAGCTGCCTGCATCTAATTTCTATTTGGGAACAAACCTTAAAGGCAATCTAATTTAACTCCTCCTATTTGCCAAGTGAGGCAACGGGAGCCAAGACAGGCCAGGGCCTTACTGAAGGCCATATCTGAGACCATGGCAGAAGGGCAACTGGACCTAAGTTATTTGAGTGACTGTCAAAGCATCACCCAAAATTCACATGTCTCCAGAGCTTGCGAACATGGCAGTTCACTGATGGGGTAAGAGACCCAGTTATAATATGTAAATAATCTTGGCTGGCAGGAACAGGAGAACAAGATTTCGCTAGTGTAAGCTTTTCCAGGGCCTATTTCATAACTGTTGAGACACTAGAGGCTAGAAGTGGACAAGAAGTGGTCACTTGGGAACTAGAAAAGTCCCATTCTTGCCATTGAACTAGCATTTAATATGCCTTGTCTCTCTACAATGTTCAAATTGCCCTCATTTTATAATATTTTGAGTTGACTCGGCTTTTCAGAGGAAATAAGATGCTGTTAGTTCTGTTGATGTGGCTTGCTTCACACGCTGCCCTAACACGAATGGTAGTAACCAAGTGGCCTCCCCACCTCCTCCTTGTTCTGGCTGCTTCAATCTACTCTTAAGTCTCCTCCAGACTTCTGCTCTACACCCACAGGTCTGCCTGCTTGGAATGCCTTTCCCCTAGCTTCACATCTGGAAATCATAGCCTTCACGCCTTAGTTCTGGGGATACCTCCTCCTAGAAGTACCTTCTGCTGGTATGAGCCACTGTGCCCTCTGTGAGGACCCCTGTTACAGGCTGTCATCTCACCCTTTGAGCTTGGAGCCACTCACACACTCCCATGACACAACTGGACTATAATGTACTTTGGAGTGGGACCATACACCCAGTCTTTATATTCCTGCCACCAAGCAGTTTCAAAAAGATCTTAGGGCTCAAAAATGTTTCAGCAACAACCACAAAAATGAATGAAGCCTGGGGGAGGGTCGGGCTCAGTTGTTAGGCTGTGTGCCTGGTACACATAAAGCCCTGTGTTTGATCCCTATCATAGCACAGAGGGGGCATAGTGATGTGTGTCTGTAATTCCAGTACTTGAGAACCAAAGGCAAGAGGGTCAGAAGTTCAAAGTCATCCTTGGCTACATAGCAAATTCCAGGTCACCCTGGACTAGAGACACAGACAGGTTCTTTTCTTCTATTGGTGCTGTTGAATCAAAATCTCCTTCCCATTCTTTTAGTTTATGGGCCCCTCGAGTGCATTGGCCCTCACTCTGGGCCTGAAGGAACATCAGAAAAGAATGGATATTTCTACCTCCTTACAAAATGCTCTGGTTGCAGGAAATGAAATGTCTATAAGGACAAAGAGAGGGAAAGTGAGGACAGAGATAATAACAGTTGAGAAATGTCAATACCCTTTCCAATGATGGCCTGAGCCTGGGAAGCCCAGATGCTCATGAAGCTTCAGGAGAGATATGGAGTGATGCTGCCTTCACCCCTGGGGGACTCCACAGGAGGAACAGACTCTAAAACACCAACCAGAGCTAGAAACAGTGGGATAAACTCTACATGAAAGATGAGGTTGCCAGCCCCTTCTCCTGGCTCTGTTCCTAGAACAGGAACAGCCTTTTTACCAGCACTTTCCTGCTGCATCAACCCTAAATAACACACAAGATGCTGTATTACTTGTAATGCTGTTGGCCAATGTCTAGAGCTTCTTATTGGCTAGCTCTGTCTTAATTATTAACCCATAATTACTAATATATGTATTTCTAGGTGGTCTAATCTTACCAAGGATGCCAGACTCACGAGTCCTCTCCTCCCAAGATCACATTACGACCCTCCTCTCTCCTACCTCTCCCAGAATCCTCCTTGTTTCCTAGTCCCATTATCTTGCTTCCCTATTGGCCAACAGTGTTTTATTCATCAACCAATAAGAGAAACATGTATACAGAAGACTTTCCCCACCACAGCCTGGCATGTGTGCCTTTACCATTTCACAGTAGGCAACGGATGAAGGTCAGCCATGCAGGAAAAACCCAGTGAAAGAGAAAAAGACAAGAGACTTTGGCATAGGGGTTCTCCCTGTGGAACTGCCAGGCACCCTTACTATCCCACAACAATGTAACAATGAATGGGCAAACCTGGTCAGCAATCACTCAAGAGTGACAATGACAATAGCCAAGGTAGGATGAAAGCTTCAGACATGGCAGACCCTTATAGAGATCACCCCCAGTAGCATCAGTATTCTCTGACATTAGACAGAACATCCACAGATAAGGACCAAAAGGACTTATTTTATCATCACAAACACACACACACACACACACACACACACACACACACACAGGGCATCTTGAAGCAAAAACAAAAACAAAAAACAAACAAACAAAACACAACTATAAATATTTAAATTACAATGATGGAACTGGGGAGATGGGACAGTAGAAAGTTTGCTGTGTGAGCACAAGAACCTGAGGTCAATTCCCAGCTTGACATTAAGAGCAAGTCTCTGTGGCATGTGCCCACATCTCAGGGCTGAAATGCCTGAAAGAGGCAGGTCCCCAGAGCCCAGGGTGGCCAGCCTGGTTGAATCAGAGAGCTCTTAGTTAGAGGAAGGAACCTGTCTCAAACACTAAGATGGAGAGTGATAAGGGAAGCTACTTGGAGTCAATCTCTAAACTACACACACACATGCCTATACACCCACCCACAAGTATATACATCCACCCCATATACATGGATATATATGTGTGTGTGTGTGTATACACACATATATATATGCCCAACCACATACATGTACACCCACCCACAAGTATACACATCTACCCATACATATGTATATGTACATATGTGTGTATATATGTGCCCAACCACATACATATACACCCACCCACATGTACACACACCTACCTACATTATGTACACACTCCCACAATCGCACACATGGTTATGATGAAGCACCAGAAGTTATGAAATTCCCCCAGAGAGAGAGGGAATGGAGGGAGGAAGATGAATATAAAAACTAACCTAGAATCTCGGACACCTAATAAGAACTAGAGAAAAAGGAAATGAGAGAGAGAGACAGAGACAGAAACAGAGACAGAGAGAGCGCAGAGAAAGTTGAAGAGGACCCACCAACCAAGAAATACTTTCTCCAAAGTTTCCTGTGGCAAAGCACTTGTAATTGCACTTGAGCAGCCGGGAGAGTACCCAACACACTCTGCAAAACAGAAACCAAACCTGCACCAAACATAACTCTGGAAATGTTAGATCTCCAGGAACGAATAGGACTGAGAAGTTCTAGAGAAACAGCCCACGACAGAACAGCTAGGATCAACACCAGATCTAATACTTCTCAGTATTGGCACTGCAAGCTAGAAACTGAAGCAGCCAGAAGTGTCCTCCATACAGGGAGAAGATCATCTCCACCCTAGAGTTTCTTGATCAGCTAAACACAGTGAAGAGGAGTTGGGACAAGGGTGGGGATGACAAGAACTACTACACCCGCTGAGGGTAGAAGGTTCACACCCACCCCACAGCAACGTTAAAATGTAAACTACTACTCCCCAAGTCAGAATCCTTTTTACATTAAAAAAAATTGTTTGGCATCCTCAGGAGGTACAGCAAGAAAGAGAAAAACAGGGATCCCCAGGTATCTGCAAAGGGAGGACCCCCACATCGCCAAGCAGTAAAGCT